TTTGTTGTTGTGGTTGTTGTTGTTGTTTTTTCAAAAATATATAATTTACCTGTTTTTTTAAATATGGAATAAACATTGCACAGTTGTACTGTACATGCATATGACTTTATTATTGAATCAAGGTTGCTGCTGGGGAAGTGACAGACTTTGATCAGTGTCTCTGCACCCTGGAATTTCTGGACAAAATGAAACCGTTACAGCAAATACTTAAAGAAAAGATGCCAACAACTCGAAGAGGTAACGTGTCCAGTGAACACAAATTTAACACGTCATTAGCAGTTATGGGATTTGGTTTATTAGCACCCAATGACATTAACAAGTCCAGCACAAAGTTCTCATGTAAACCATTCCATTCTGTGATAGCCAAGTACCAGTACATGCAGGGCTTGATAAAAGTGTCGTGGAGTTGTCTGGGACAAGGAGATCTTCCCGTTTGGCAAGTAACTTTTCATTCTCACTTGCCTGATGGACAAAGGCCCAGCCAAGTGTTCTGCTAACTAAATATGAAAACAGTCACCTCAAAAACAGATCTGTCCAGGGCAAGCAAAATCTGAGAGCTGCATGTTCAAAGGGCAAGATGGAATTCAAGTTTTTTTTTTTTAACCCTGACATGAAAAATAAAGTTTCTAGAAACTAGACAACATTGTTAAAACTGGAAACGGAGGATTACTATGGAGGCAGAACTTTGAGCTGTATAATCTAACTGAGAGTAGGCTAACAGCAGCTTGTAAGGACTAACAGGAAAGGAGACCTTGTTGATGGACTGTATTACTTGCGCGATGCACACTGGGGGAACAAACTATATGGGGAGAAACTGTCTTAAATGCTCGCGTCCCGGACCCAAACTCGGGAGTCTGCTTGCAGCCTCTATTTCATGAAGTTGCTGTCTGTTTCAGGTACTGCATCTGATGACATTGCCTCCGCCATCGAAACATACAAAAAGGGTCATCCATACAAGTGTGACAAGGATGGAATCATCGATATTGGAGTAGGAAAGGTAGCTTTGCAAGTTTAAATTTGTTTTGCTTTTTTTAATTGGAAAATTACTATGCTTTTGACTGTGCTTTTATTTTCCAGCTCAGCTTTACTGATTCAGAAGTAAGAACAAACACTGCAGCAGTGTTATCTGCTATTTCCACACACAGGATATCTACCAAAGGTATCTAGTTAGTGACAATTAACAATTATTCTTTTCATTCTCGAGAAATGAAGGTAAAAAGAGGTTAAGTCTGTATACAAGCCAAGTGGCCCATCAGGCCAGTGCTTATCCTGGTTTCTGTGACATGAAGCGACTAGGAGTATTGCTTCTCCCCCCTGAATAGGATGCTGGTCCATCGCAGGGTTACCCCCAGCAGTAAATTCTCCAGGACCCAATTATACACCTGGGTGGAGAGAGGCAATGTTAGAGTAAAGAATCTTGCCCAAGAACACACTTTAACACTATGTCCCCGGCCAGGGCTTGAACCCAGACTGCTCGATCCGGAGACGAGGCACTAACCATGAGGCCACCACGCCGCAACCTCTGGCCGAACCCAATTTCCTGAGCATGCGTAGGGTATTCATTTCTTATTTTGAGCCAATCACATTTGTCGGATTTGACAGGACGTTGGTGAATCTCAGACTTCCGGTGTTGGATATACCCAGAGGTTGTGGATCTTGGTGCTGACCAAACAGATCGTGGCCTCTTGGGACGAGAATGCAAATAAACCTACTTGTGTCCATTTGTGACCCTCCATACGAAAACACGTCTTATCCACAAAAACGATTTTAGGGGATTTTGAGGTCATTCTGAAACCCTTTGGAAACCCTTTGGAAACGCTTTTCAAAAATGCTTTGAAACCCTGCAGAAACCCTTTTGAAACACTTTGAAACCCTGTAGAAACCCTTTTAAAACGCTTTGAAACCCTTTAGAAACCCTTTAAAACCGTTTTGAAACCCTTTTGAAACGCTATGAAACCCTTTCGAAACGTTTCGGAAACCTTTCGCAAACTCTTTGAAAAGTTCACGTAGCAAAAATCCGGGAAAAAATTAATCTAAAAATTTATTGTCTTTTTACCAGGTGCATTCTTTCAGGAGCTCGACATTTCATATGCAACTGGTCCCAGATATCCTCTTCAATTGGAGGAGTGGGTTGGGTGATGAACTGGTGATGGGCAGTGTATCAGTGATCACACAAAAACGAAAAATAACGAGAACAGATCCACAAAGCCGTTGGAATGTGAAAGATTCTCCATTAGAGGATGAAGTGAAATGGATTTATTACATGTGGCTGCTGGTTCCTGCTTATTTGTTGCACCAGTTGAATTATGTTTTTCTAACTTCTTCAAATGTATTCATGGCTTCAAAGCAGTGAAGGCAATTTCTACCTGCAAGCTGTTAATGTTACTGTTTTAGAAACATGAATGGTACACAGTGGCCTCCAATACTCTCTGACAAAGTTGTAACAATTTGGAAGTAACACTCAAACGTACATACTTCGATTCCAAGAAGGTTTAAACGGTACAAACGACTGTGCTATCAAACCATTGGTGGAAGATTGGTGAGGATACAGAGAGACACTGACAGACCTCCTCACGACATGAAGCCTGCGTGGTTGACCTGTACTCACAACTAATTTTCCAGGCCAAGACTTCGTTCAATGTTGCCTCAAGAACGTGAAGTATCTTGTGCCTTAAGAGAAAAACAACATTGCACAGAGGGGTAGCAAAGTAACAATCAAACAATTTGGTGAAACTTTAGCATAGCTGAGTTCAATTGTAAATAAAAGTATCGAAAACAATGAGCGCAGTGTTTTGTTGGTTATAGCGACGACAGAAGGTGTAGCGTTTATTCTTCGTGTACTTTAAACCTAAATTTTTACCAAAGATTTTACCTGAAGATATTCATGACACTTCAGCTTGTCTTACACAACATACAGGCCCGCTGAAGGATTTTTATCATGGGTTGCAAATCTTTGAAGACACACAATAGGTTGGAGACATAACGGACAGTTCGATTTTCTCGAGTTTGAAAATAATTTTGTGTATACTAGGCAAAGAATTTTAAACCATACAGTAGCAGTTGTTTGGTTTAAATTGTTTTCAAAAGCAATTAAAATCGGGGGTGCAAAACAAGTTTATGGGTGATGATAAATCAGTACTGATAATTAAGGCTTAAGTGTCTACGAAGCTGACATGTCGTTAAAAACCAATTGTAATGTGGCACGTTAATAAGAAAGTCTTCTAAGTTTTCGTTGTGCGCTTTTCAAGATAGACATTTATGAAATTAGCAAACTTTAGATAAATCTTACGGATCTGAAGCCGTAATTTTATTTTAAAAGTAAAGCAGAGAAAGAAATTTGTTTTCCATATGCGAGACTTTGTTTTGCATGGTGAACATTTTCTAGACATAACATTTCCTTTTAATGTATATATAAATTTCCATGTAGGATAAACAATCGATCAACAATATGCAATCTTTGCTCGAGACGTTTAATGACGCAATAAAACGATGTGTCTCCGGGTTAAATGAATCGAAGCAAGCTATGAGTCACCTAGGGTCTACTCTTGACACCTGCAAAAAAGACGTCATGAAAGATTCCCTAAATTTACGCAAGAACGTACGTTTTTCAGGAAAACTATCAAGTGTCTTTGGAGACTTTTCTCACTCATGTTTAAAATGCCCAACAATAGTTTCGATGTTTATAGCGTTTATTTTCTATACCCGGCTCGGCAATCACGCAGTTTTATTCAGCTGTATAATTACCTGTAGCTATGAACAAACCACCTGTTACGTGTGCAAGGGGTGCGGGATATCAGCAGCAGGTCAGTCGGGCAGCACCGTGAGCCAGTTATTGTTCATTTACCACAACTTCGCAACCATGGACAGAACTCTCAGCTTTGTTATACTTTTGTGTTTTGTGGCGCTATGCCTCGCAAAAAACGTTCACAATTCAGACGAGAACGCTGGCGAGCCAGGCGCAAAGCTGATGATGAAGAGAGGCGCTGCTAAAGACGACGAAGAAGATGCGAAAGTTGAAGTTGTTCAGGATGGAAAAGATGAATCGGCAAAGGAGAAGAAAGCTTCAGATGAACACGAAACGAAAACGAAGGACGACAACGATGAAAAAGACCATGTGAGCAAGAAGAGTGACGATGATGATATGACAGATGACGAGGATGAACACGAGGAAGAAGACGAAGACCAGCACGAAGAAGAAGAGGAAGAAGTAGATCCAAACGCTAAAATCGAAATTCACGATCTCTACACTCCGAAGGACTGCGTGAACAAATCCAAGTCTGGTGATCTCGTCGTGATTCACTACAAAGGCTGGTTGGAGGATGGTACGCTGTTTGACACAACAATCGATCCCAACAAAGGATACATGCCGTTTGAGTTTATGTTGGGAACCGGCACTGTCATCAAAGGATTTGAACGCGGAGTCTTGGACATGTGTAGAGGACAGAAACGAGAAATTGTTATTCCACCTTCGCTAGGTTATGGAAAACGTGGAGCTGGCGAAATACCAGGTACAAAAATGTTAATTAAATCTCTCGCCCTGTCACTTCTTGAAGCAAAGTTTATTGTATCTGTTGTTTAGACTTTTTCATGTAAACCAATTAGTCTCGTAACATTCCAGTGGATGTTGTTTTGAGGTTTTCACATTTGTGTTTTGTAATTGACTGAGGTTATCTTTTTCCATGTCTTTTAATTTACCGACTATTTTAGAGTAAATTTGTCACGTAATTCAATGAAAACAAATAGCCTTGCAATTCCGCGGGAATACTGGCTTCCATAAAAAAATTACTTTCACAATGTTTTAAAATTGTTATATTTTCACACATTATCAATAAACTGAGTCCTGATATCAATTTGCAAGTATAGTAAGATTAATGTTTCAAAGGAGTATTTACAAGTTATTTCTCGTTATAACCTACTTCTAGGAAAACATTTTGCTTCTTTCAAAACAAATTATTTATGAAACGAGTTTAACTACGTGTACCTGTTTCTTACTGGTCGATTATAGCCCGATTAGTAAATAATTGATGTGTCATAAAGTAGACAAAATAGTTATTGTTCTCGAAAGAGGGGAGCCAATTTTGAAGTTATTTGCATATAGTTGTTCGAAATGTGTACCCTATCCTTGGAACTTTGAATCCTTTGATGACAAAAGATAAAGTCCTTTATCAACGTCGAAATTAGTCTCCCAGGCTCTCTCTCTCCTAGAGGCTGGGATCGAGGCTGTTTGACTTCAATAGGCCATTCCCGAGTTGCCTCTTGCCTCTTTGTCAAAACGATTCATATGAAAATGAGTTTCGCCTACAGGTTCATTTTCATGTAAATCAAATCATTTTCATATGAAAGGTTTTGTACGGAGACTCGCTTTGAAACAGAGGCACAAGATAACTCGGAAATGACCTATTGCAGAACTTTCATCAGAGCAGTTATATAACTCAGTAATTTGATTTTTATTCAGGAAACACGACCCTTAAGTACGAGCTGGAAATGTTCGATATTCGCCAGCCTCCCCCACAAGCCGACATGTTCTCACACATCGACACCAACGGCGACAAGAAGCTCTCTAAGAAAGAAGTATCAGAATACATGAAGGCCCAGGCTGAAGCTCATGGTATGCCTACTTACGACAAGAAATGGAGGAAACATCACAAAACTGTTGTAGCGAACATCTTTGAGCACGAGGACACCGATGAAGATGGCTCCATCTCTCATGATGAATTCAGCGGTCCAAAGATGATGTACCATGATGAATTTTAGATCGAATGCTTTTCAAAGAGCTTAGCGTCTGAGCGTGGGAACACGCGCGATAGTCTTGCAAGGCCGCTCCACTCACGGGAGAAGTCACGAAGTAGATAACAATAATCATGTATAATTTATTTGAATTAACGCTATTTCCCATTGTGGACAATGATTTAATATAGCACTTTGAACAATTGAGATACTTCTTCAAGTCTTCAATTCTATTGAAAAACTGAAGACACCAAACATCGATTTTTGTTGCTAATATAATTTTTTTGGTAAATTTCTTCCAACGCCTACGGTTGTTATAAACGTTAGTTTTGTTATTTAATTTGAAATCTTACCTACAAAAGTAATTAGCACGCTTGGTAAGGTTAAATAATGTCAAAAATAGTGAGATTTATTCGGTTTTGGTATTAATTTTGAAGTCATATTAACAACAGCTAGATTATGTTTGTATAATAAAGCAAACGATTTATCCTTGACAGTAGTAATACCTTGATCTAGTAAAATCAGTAAAAAAAATATTTGAGAGAGATACCCCGCCACTTCCCGCATCCCTGGAGGGGAATCTCCTACGGTACTTAGGATAAATGCTTCTTGTTCTTTCAGGATTTTACTCCGTGTTTTGGTTTCATTTCAAATCTTCCCACTTCTCCCCATTATGGTGTCTACTAAGGCACGTGATCAAAGTAAGCCTAAAATAAGCAAGAATTGGTTGTCAAGAAAATAACCATATTCTGAGGTGATCTATTAATTTTGTTTTAATTTGTATCGCCGGATATAAAACGCACTTTACCAAACCACGTTGAATGTGATTGATATATTTTTTTCAAAGTTTTCGGCAAGCATTGGTCCTCGTAATTTTTTACGAAGCCTCCTCCCAGGACTTCCTTTCCTCCCCTCCTCCCGAGGACATATCTCCAAGAGAATGCAAAAAATTTTGTTTCAGAACCTCTCAATTTCAAAATTGTTTGGAGAAGCATG